GCGAGGGGAAGGTAACGCAGCAACTTCAGCCCAGGCTGCGCGCCTGTGTCGAAGACGACGGTGAAATTTTGTGGCTTCGGATGGCCAACCTGTCATACAAGACGATTTGGAAGCTTCACCGAATCAGGGATCCTTATCTAGAGCTTGACTGGTAGAAATTCTCAGCGCAAGCAGCACGGTTTCTGTTGCTACTCTTGGCACTCAGGAATATCACTATGATGCTGCTCATCTTTAATTGTTGTCGTCGCGACAGTCGTTGGCTTTGTGGTGGTGGGGGTCCCATAGGAAATACCCATCTGACGTAGTGGAAGCCTGCATGGCTGCTTTGTCTAAGAAGCATTCCATCGGTCCGGTCAGGCATGGCCAGGCAAGTGCTCAACTGGTTTAGGGTTTAGGGTTTAGTGTGCTGGACTAATCACAATGCCTGCTATTGACGTGGCGGTTTTGCGCAGGCTCATAGCGACTTTTTGCAGAGTTGGCGATTGCGCTCTGCTGGGCGGAAACAACTCAGAGAGCTTGACCACGAGGCTCCTGGCTCGGAAAGATGCGGTTCTTTCCTCGCAGATCTATGTCTCCGTTCTCACCGCTGAGGAAGTACGGAAAGAATTGTGTTTGATGGATGCATTCCTAAAGCCGGCTCCTCAAGTGCAGCTAGCACGGCGATGATGCTGCGCTCGTCTTGAGATGCGTCTCGCTCTCAAGAGTTTGGACCTCCGGCAAAGCCTCAGCAACGCGTGCTCGCGTGCGATCTTTAAAATCGGACGCGCAAGCATGCTACAGCCCAGAACGTACAGTTGTTGCTCTCACTTTGTTTCTTACTGGACTGCCATAGCACCCTTGTGAATCCTACTGCTTTTTGCTGTTCCACCCGTAGTCATCGCATACCTCGAACCCTGTATGCTGCTTAACCGCACACCAAGCGGAATGCTTCATGACTTCATGACAAATACAGCGTCTAACATGTCCGCTTCGAACCGCCTGGGTCGACCCCAGACAGCCAAACTTCCACAAAAGCAGTAGAGGCAGCATTGCTGTTAGCATCCACTTCAGCATGTTGGCATGCGCGATGTAATGAACACTGGATGGGTCTGAGTCTGACGATAAAAGACAAGAACCCTAAACCCTAAACCCTGCCAGATCGGTGGTCGTGGCAGCTTGCAAATGGGGAAATCAGTGAAACCTGAAGGACCAAATAGGGGCCGTATACCCATATACTATGAATCCGTATATGGTATACGAACCTTAAACCCTTTTAGGGTTATGTCGTCCTTAAGGTACATCAAGCTGAGCGGACCCTCAAGCCTTTTTTTGATGTCCAGAACCTGTCCGACCCTTCGACCCAGGATATGTTAACTCCCTGGATTTCAAAATAGCCAAAAAGCCTTCTATATTATGGTCGTTGGGCCCAAAAGCCTTAATACATGAGCCCTTGCATACCCAGGGATTTAGGCGGGTGTCATTTCGAGTCTCAATCACGCAGCGTCTCTTCGGTTACGTACTGTCGGGAGCCGCTAAGCCTAAGAGATCGCGCTTGGAAAATGGTGAATTCGGCAACTTCTTTAAAACTCCCCAGTTTCCCCAATGCCCGACCTGGACCTCAAAAAACCAAGCGTTTCTATGGACATATCTAAAGAAATCGTCAAAAGCCTAAAACAAGCAATCTGCTTGCCTTAAGTCGACCCGAAACCCGAAGCCTTGAACCTAAACCCTGCAGAAATACGTCGGCCCTGGCACTCTGGCCCTACACCCACCATCCCTGATAGAGGTCTCAATGAATCGAACGGGATGTGATGTTGAAAGGGGTATGTCTTGCATACAATTACAAATATTGACACACACACATATGTATATATATATATATATATATATATATTTATTTATTTATATTTTATACACATACACATATTGTATACATAATTACAAAGACAGAGAGGAAGAGAGAGAAACAGAGAGAGAGAGAGAGAGAGAATGAGAGGGGCGGACTATAAGGAGCATTAAGTACGATCCTAAACCCCAAATCCAACAAACCTGAATTAGCGAACTACTCAAAGCTTTAGTTTGTCTTCCTGCAGTCTGGGACGCAGCCGGCTGCGACAAAAGAGGCGCCGACACCGCTGCTGGCAGCGGCGCTGTGCGCGCTGCGTGCGCACTGCGGCCTGGCTCCAGGGCAGCATGAGAACCCCTGTGTTCAAACTCTTTTCAAAAGGGTCTAAAAAGGTATAGCATTTGGGCGCCGGGTTTGGCAGGGGTTCTACACTTAACAAACTTTCTATATAGGATTCGCGAACGCAAAACGAAACGTGAGGTTCGGATCTTCGCAGCAGGGTCCCCGAGAAACAGTGCATGCAACAGCCATCAAGAGACAAGGCAAGCTCTGCAAAACGCACAGCAACACAGGATCAGAACACACCTGGAGACTTGGCGTGTCACAGGCATAGCTATCATCGAAGCGTGGCAATTCCAAGTACAGAGGCTATAAAGTCCTCCGACGGTATGGGAACGAAAAGAAGTGGCTCTGACAAGATGCTTCAGGAAAGGTCTTGGGTGTTCAGCGCCTGGTACTGTTGGTGATATAAATCCTGCATTACCCATAAAGAAAATACCATTAGTCCCATAGTCTAGGGTCCTTAAGGTAATGCAGGATGTATATCAACAACCGAGTTTCTCACTGTAGATTCCATCCAAGTCTGGCAGTGCTTTTGCTTTTAGTCTTTAGCATCAACGGCTTTCCTGCACCTTGGCGCCCGCTTTTCCACACGCCTTCTCGACTTCGGTGTTTAGGGTTGCTATCGGGCTGAACCCTAAACCCAAAAGCTTCCTGCCTGTCAAGCCGGGGGCAGCAACCGTAGTAAACAAAAGCCCGAACACCGATATTCAAAACCTAAAGCCTCAGAAATCCTAAATTTTAAACACTAAGGCCCGAAAGAGGGTTTTGGATCGAGCCGAGTGCATTGCCAAAGCCCCAGTGGACGTAGCATCCACGTAGAACGGAGCCATTGCTAAATCGCCTAGCTGGCACCGCAACGCTCGACGCTCTCGGCACAGGGCCAGAGCACGCGTTCACCTTCTTCGCCTCCAAGGACTTCGACCCTGGAAGCGAGACTTGAGCCTTCTTGAGGCTCATCACTCACGGCCTAGATATCGCGAAGCCGCCCGTATGGGACGAGGCCGAAACCCGGAAGCATGGCGATCGGAAGAGTCATATGGACATTCTGGGCGGCAACAGCCGTCCTGGGAAGTCTGGAAAGGCGCGAGGACACCGAAGACCGGCCAGGCCAAGAAGACCCCAGCACGGTACGACGAGATGGTCGTTCATGGATGGAAATCCTCCCAGGACGAGACCCACGAAGAGATCCTGGATGCGGAACAACATGGGGGTTCAGAGCGCAGGCGTGCAATACAAAAGGCGCTTACACAAGCAAAAAAGGCCGAAAACCGTGCCAGGAAGATTCGCGAGGACCAGAAGTACCGAGAGCAACAATGGGAGCTATGGAAAAAGAAGGCGATAGCAGATTTCCAGCGGCAGAAGAGAGCCTTCGAGACGGACACCCAGAAAGCCCAGGAGGAACTTCGGCAAGCAATTCAGACCGGACAGCAAGCCGCTGCACTTGTCGAGCAGATTGCTGCCGGACAGCGACTGCAGGAGGACACCTCCGAGCTGGATGCCGTTATGGCAGAACTCTCAGCCAACCCCGAGGCACCGGCACCTTCGGAGCCCTTCATGAAAGCAGCAATGCAAGCCGCCACGGCAGCAGGATTCCTAGACGGTGGACCCCTTACCAGTGGCGGCCAGGGGACGGCACCAGCTGCAGTGAGGCAGCTCAGACCAGAGATCCTGCAGCAGTTGATGGCGATGGCAGGATTGCAGCAACTGCAGGCAACAGCCGGCGGCGCTCATGTGCCCACTGTCGCCACCGGCCCAGGCCCATCCGATGCACAGCTTGTTGGACTACTTGCCGGGCAGCAGCAAGCCAATGGCGTGCCACCACCGTCTGTGGCGCCCCCTGCTTATACTCCCACAGGCCAAGGTTCGGAAAGCCCTTTTGTAGAGGGACACCTGGGCATGTCCAAAGGTGTGCCCACTGCCGCAGCCCTTCCGACCCACGACATCACCAAGCATCCCACACCACAGCGGCCGAAGCACAAGCCACCTACGGAGGGAGAGAGGCCTCAACCTCCGAGGCAGCCTGTCAAACCAGTGGGTACGAACAGCGTGGTGCATCCAACATCCCCCTCCGGGCCATGCTTCCAAGACCGAGTGGAAGCCAAGCGAGAAGCACTACGCTCACAGTCGCAGCAGGAGATGATCGAGCAACAGGAACAGCAGGAACGGGCAGCAGCTGCGGCTGCAGCTCAGGCCGTTCACAACATTGGGGACTCCGAGGAAGAGGACCTACTGAGCCAAGAGCTGCCTCCAGATCTCGACCACGGAGGAGGTCCTCAATCACCAGGCCTGCGAACAATGGAGTGACCAACACAGCGTTCCTGAGGCAAATAGTTTCCCGAACTGAGATTGCTCTCGGCAGGAGTTCCCTGGAGGGTCCGTGCATCGGAGTTGCATTGGCGCATCTCCATGCTCTGTTACCCATCGGGTTGAGCCCTTGCTGGCAGCTCTTTCAGGACGCGGGAACTACATGCCATGGAGCCATCGCTGAGTACTGTACAGAGGCAGTAGTGCACACACTTGTTTCGCAAGGCCCCTCGTGCCCTTCCTCTTCTGCGAGTGTACGAGCCTCGCCTTTTCGTCTTTGTGGCTATCTAAGAGTAAGTCGATCATTGGGCTGCGGTCTGACTTTTACTCTAGATGGCTCCTCTCCTGCCCTGCCGGCATTGCATTGGGTTTGTGCAATTGCCAGCGACGGTAACAGAGTGCCTCTGTGCCCTCGATCCTTCTCCTTGAGAGGCCGCTTGTACATAGCTTTTGGAGTTGTACAGTGCCGCCTTTTCAGTGTGCCTGCCCTGCCTTATCCTTCTGACCTAACTGCCGCTCTTTTTAGGTCATGTGCTCTCAGGAGCCAGCGAGGCTCTACTTCTTCCGGTGTTCTCCCTGCCGTCGCCACGAGTTCTGGTCCCGGGTCTCAGCATACTTGGGTTTGGTATGCTGTATTCCCGCTTCCGGACTCCTCTTCCTCCGCCCTTGGAGATGCCGGCCTTCTTTGCCGTGCTTCCTCCTGGGCCCCGCCGACGCCTTGGTTCTCCTCGGTCTGCAAATCACGGCCTTGTCCTTCTGCAGCCTCCGGCTGCTTCAGTGTATTGCCACCGAGCTGCCCTGCTCCCAACCGGGATCTCTCCGGCTTCGGCTCTGCACATATCGGCTCAGTGATGCCACCCTTTCATGGAGGTTTCGGATACAGCGTGCCTAACACTTGCATCGGTGGCTCTGGGGCAAGGACCTGTACCGACCTCCCCCATTTAGGCGATACTGCTGGTTTTGGTCACGGAACTTGTAATCCCCCACCCTTTTGGGGTTTAGTCCGGTTTCCTCCCCCAGCCAATTCCTGCCATGCACAGGACGAGCACCCGTGGGTCGCTTGGTGCGCCCTGCATCTGTGCACATTTTGTGCCACAGGTGCGCTTTGCAGTCTTGGTGCCCTTCTCTGGCTTTGGACTAGTGCTCTGTTAGGACGCCGCCCTGTCAGCTCTGCTTCAGGCGGACGCTTGTGTGCCAGCCCCTTTCTGCAGCCTGTTGTCTTTCTTGCCAGGGCTGCGAATTGTGATCGCCCTCTCCTCGTTTGGACAGGTACACGATTCCCTGCGCGCAAGTCGCGGCGCCGCCGCCCCTCAGTGTCTTCAGGTTGGCTGCCTTTTCTTTGCCAAGTCCTGCTTGGACACTCGCTGCCCCACAGTGTTTGGGCAGCCCCTGGTGGTGCAGACGGTGCCGCTGCTCTTACTGCCTCCCTTGCCACCCACGGTCCCGTCGGCCATCCTAGTGACAGCGCCGCGCTGTCTCCAGCTCTCTCTTCGACTGGTGTGTCGCTTCCGGGCGTCCCTGCAAACACCATCGATGCTGCCCAGCTTGCTACAGGCTCTGCCGATCCCAATCTGCACTGTCTTGTCTTTGCGGCCGGCTATCGCACCGAGCACTTGGTCTTGGACGTACCATGCGACATCACTGCTGATGCTCTCGTTGCCCGGGTCCAGGTTGCTTCAGCCTTGGTGCAGCGGCTCTCTCCAGCCCACCTTTTCCCGGCACACCCGCAACCGGGACAGGGGTATGCCAGTTTTGTTGTTGTCCCAGATTGGGTGCCCGCCGACCGGCGTCAGGTTGTGCTTCTTGATTTTTCACGGATGCATGGCCCTGTTTTTGGACACGTCTTCCACAATCCCCTTACATACCGGGACCTTGTGACAGAGGCTGTTGCACAAACTGACGAGCTTTGGCATGCATATATACCCAACAGCTTCGAACCCCTTGCAGTTGGCTGCGAAGTCACTCTGTCGAGTGGTGATGTGATCAGCTTCTCTCCCCGGGATGTTCCGCTGGCACGGGACTCAGACCTCACCCTGCTGCTGTCCAGACCCTCGTCATGGCAGCGTGAGCCGGACCACGTCCTGCTTGAGCGGCCTACCTCTGCCTGGCTTGTTATTCTGCCACAGTCCGTGCAAAGTTTCCCCTTCTACGGAACCTTCACTGCTGACTTGCAACAGGCCATTGCCGACCAAATGGACAGTCAGGTGCAGCACGTCAGCTTTGGGCACCCCACGGAGCCTCTCACCGACGTGGTGTATCGCGGGCGGCTCTACGATAAAATTGCTGCCGCCGATCACCGGTCGGAGAACCTGCCTCCCGGCCCCAATCTCGGGGCGTTCGTGTTCCTTGACGCGAGGCAGTCTGCTCGCGGCCTCGGCTTTTTATTCGAAGGGCATGGAGCTGTCGTCCCTACCCAGGACGGTGTGCGAGTGCTTGGCCTACGCCCTCCGCGCGGTTTCCGCACTTACGCGGAGCACGTTTTCCTTCGACGCGAGGGCCTCCCAGTCGTCGATGGATGTGTCTTGGTTCTGGGCTATGAGTTTGATGAGGACACAGTTGGCACAGTACCTGCATCAGCCGCCCCTGGTGTTATACTGCTCTTGCCACCGATGAGAGGCTCGATGGCACTTCTGCTGGCGCAGCCGGCGAAGCAGCTTCCCCCTCCCTCGGCTCTGCCCCGCCACCGCACATTGGGTTCCTAGTCCTTAGCCCTCGGGTTGCGCCCATTACTCTTGAGATTCCGCTCGAGATTCCGTGCTCCCCCCAGCACGCTTGTGAAACCCTTGCATCACATCTGCGGACAAACTTGGCCACCACGTATGAACATCTTGTGGTCGCCCAGCCACAACCGGACCGCAGGTTTTGCACTTTTATCGCCCTCCCGTTATGGGCCACCCATGTGGTCTGTGTGGTTGTGGATGCTCGGGCTGTCGACGGGCGGCTCTTTGCCATGCACCTGGACAATGGGCTCTTTCCACGCTCCATTCTTGTCCAGATCAGCCTCCGACCATCCCTAGGATTTCGGGTTATGCATAACGACCATGTGCATCAAGCCCAAGAAGCGATTTTTCTTTCAAAGGGAGATGTTCTCTTCATCCTCCCTGCACGCGCTGCTGCTCCAACCCCCCCCAGGCTCCCAGATATGCTGTACCAGCTCGATGGCTGGCACCTGCCGGTACCGGACTTTAAGGGATTCCTACAAACTCCCTTTTATTTGCTTACCGATGCTTGGAACACTGTTGCAGACTTCCCGGCTTCCGCTTCCACTTCCTATACAGCGCTCCGACAGTTTGCTACCGCATTCCTGCGATACGAGGACCACAGATCCTCACTCCAGACACTGCACCCACGTGTAGCGGACTACAACTTCCATGGCATCGTGTGTCGAGCTGTCCTGATTGCCACGGAGCAGCCTATCGGTCTCCCGGTCCCCCCTGCAAGGGCCAGGCCGCCGTGCATTGCATATGCCGTTGATAGGCGTGCTATTCTCGCGGACATTACTTGGCACATCACTCCCACCGGCCGAGTCGACCTCGACTCCCTCATGCGAGAGTTTGAACCAGCACCGTCCGGCTTCTACACCTCCATCACAGGCGGTCTGCCAGAATGCGAAGGTGCCAGGACCTTCTTGCGTGTTGACAATGGCCAGGTGCTGACCGTAGCATATGAGGAGGATCTTCTTGAGCCGGACCGACACGGAGACAGCACCCCCCCCGATGACGAACCGGATGATTCCGACTCCAGCAGCACTTCTTCCGCACTGCCAGCAACCCCTAAACCAGCGCCTCGACCCATGCCCGGCGCACGTAACCGCAAGCGACGGCTCACTGACGGCACTCCGGGCGCCGGTGCTTCCAGCGGCCCTACCGTCGCTGTCAATGTTTTCATGGGCTGCCTAGTTAGTGCCCAAGTACCAGCTGCTGCTGCCGTGCTTGCGGATACGCCTAGCCACCGACAAGGTCTTGGCATTCTCGCTACACACAGCCACCTTACCGTACTGCGGTACTCTTGGGGTTTCCTTGTCGATGTTCTCCTTTTCGTCGTACTGTGGCTGTCCTGCGGCCTCCTTGTCTGCACAGCCGCCTCTTGCCGCCAGGCCAAGCTCCTGCTCGAGCCGCGAGCCCACAACAGCCCCATGCGACACGCCCTAGCTGCCTTGCGCTACTTTGCGCCACGCCTGGGCGGTGCTTGGCGATATATTCCTGCAGCGGATGCCGAAGTCATCCCCGGTTCTAGTGGTTCTGAAGAAGGTGACGAAACACCAGAGGACGGTCTCGCCCTCTTTGCAGTGCTTGCCCCAGGCTATGCACCAGAACAGGTGGCTGTCATAGTGCAGTTCCCCGCCACCTTAACTGAGGCCCTTGACACTGTGCAGCTTGCCCGTCATAGTATCCATAAGCATTGGTTGCCTGTTCCTGTTCCTGTCGAGCCCCAGCCGCAGCCGGGCATCGGCACCGTCATTGCTCTTGCCGACTGGCAGAGACAGGACAGATTCGTCTGCATCGACAGCACCCAGCTCGACGGGCGCCGCTTTGTCGTCCAGGCACCTCACTATGCTGACAAGCTTGCACTCCTGCACCTTGCCGATATTCAGCTAAACCTAGGCATAGCTGTTTACATCGGGGACGATCCACAGCCACTCGGTGATGATGTCCAGGTGCAATTATGGACCGGACTTGCAGTTTTCTTTCTGCCACCCGAGCGCCACCCACCCGTACCCTACTCTCTCGCCTGGACCCTAACAGACTGGCGTATGTGGCGCCAAGCCCTGCCGGAGGCCTTGCAACCTCCACCTGATGCATATGCCCTTGTCTACCATGACGAGGTTGCACTACACATCACTGACCCTAGGCGCCCCACCCGACACCGTCACCAAATTGCAGCCGCCCTAGGCATCCCCCTTGCGACACTACAGCTTGTGCCCGCGGTGCCACGGCTAACCAATGCCGCACTCACCGGACTCCACTGCAGAACCGTCCTCGCAGTCTGTGACAGCTCTGTCCAAGGACCGCTGCCCTGGTGTGTCGTCCTTTTGGATCTCCGTGCCCTACTTCGTGGGTGGAGCACAGTTGTCGCTCCGCATCATCGGCTCTCTTGCGATAGCTTGCGCGAAGACCTAGACAACCACTCACCTCCAGGCTGGCAGGCATGCCTACACGATGTCGGACGTGATGTGATTGATGTGCACCCGGGACAGGTACTTGTTGCATACTACCGGCCAGGCCGTGTTGCCATCCCTGCTGCTCGGGCTGTCTCGCCCTCTGCCGGTGACGCTCCACCCCAGTGCCGCCACCCCAAATGAGGCCGCGCCCCTCACACATCCCAGTGGCCCCCCTAGATCTTACGGTCCTGCTAGCCATCCGGCTGCGACTTCGTCGTCCACAGGGCCGTCTGCTGGCCCGACCGATGATGACACTGTAGCAGCTGCCACTGCTACACCGGCAGGTGCTGCCCAGATCGAGTACCTGCCTGGCGTTTTCCTTGTCCTAGCACAGGACTACTGTCCAGAGCCATGCACGGCTTCCGGTCGGCTGTCCGGACAGCCTTGCGCTTGACAGTGTTGGTGCAGCCAGGGCTCCTTTCTCTCGTATCTGCATGCCCAGGCTCATTGCTGCCTATCCGCAAACTATTGCAGGTGCCGCCCTCCTCCTTGCCCTCCCGTTTTGGACACCGGACGGAGTTACTGTTGCGTGTGATCTCACACGCCTCACTGGGGTCGTCTTTGCTTTGCAATTGCCCCGAGTTGTCCGACGTGACGGCCTCCTTCGTGCCTTGGGTGTCGCTACAGATGCGCGCGTCGATCTCTATCTCAGAGACCTGCCCTGGCCCATGCCCCATGGGGCGGTCTATGACCTCCGTAACGGTGATACTGTTGTTGTCACCCCTGCAGCACAGGCCGCGCATGCACCCATCCCCACAGGCTCACTCAGTGCGCGTCTTGCCTCAGCCGCTGCCTGGGATCCCACTTGGGGTCCCGATGCCACCTATGCAGACACCGTATGGCTCCTTACCGAAGTTGGCCATTTCACTCATGTTGTACCACCCGGCAGGCGCTCCTTCTTTCGGGATGACGTCGCCGCGTTATTGGGTGTTCGTGCTGATCGCATCACCTTTGCGGCTCCCGATCCCGCCATCAGGGATCATGCTGAAAAAGGGGTTCTGTCGCTCAACGTCATTGCAGTGCTTGGCGACGAACCCCCTGACCTCGAAGTGCGCCAGGGTGGATCCCTGTGCTTCATCGACAGTCGACCGATCCTCACTGGCATCTCCCGCATTACTGTGCATGGAGGAGGTTTGGACACTGCACGCCTCCACCGGCGCTTTGATCCGCGCTGTCCTGTCGGATATCGACTGTGCCGTCTACACCCCGACCATGGGCCATGCCTGCTCCCTCCTGTCTTAAATGTGCAGCATGGTGAGGTCATCGTCCTGTCGTTTATGCCAGCTGAAGCCAATCCCATTAATGTCCCTCCCGAGGACGGCCCCGGCCCTGGACAGGGTGGAGCGCCCCGTGGTCCTGCTGCTGCACCTCCCGCCGGTGATGCTGCCTCTCCTCCTGCCACCGACAATCCGACATCGAGTACGGGGCAGACCGACGCCGGCACCGGTGGTACCCAGCGAGCCCGTGATGGCCCATCCTTCGACTGTATTGGCCTCTTTTCCGCCCGCAGGCAACCACACAGTGAACAATGTGTCAGTCGAGTTGTTACGTGGCGACAAGCTAGTTCTGTCTCCTACTTGGCGTTCACCTCTATCCTCCTGCATCTTGTTCACTGGGGCTTGTGTGCCCTGCGCGGTGCGGCTTCCACTGCAGGCTCACATCTTGTTGCCCCTGCCGTTGTGCCTCGTCGTGGCCGGCACCGCCCCTCACCCGGTCGGCGCCTCTGTCGGCCGACTGCACTCATCCTTGTCCTGATTGTTGCGGCTGCTCTGCCACTCGCCGCTGCGACCACTTCCGGTGGCACGCCTCCTGGCGCTGTATGCCACTCCTTCTGTGGCTCAGGCCTGGCCTATGCTGTTGGCCGCCTGTCACGCCCGGTTGCCACTCCTTGTCGAGCTCCTGCGGCCGTCGGGCATCCGCCAGGTACAGCAGATCCCACAGGTGCCCTTATTCGCCTGGATACTGCCACCCATGGGTTCGAATTGCCAAACGACCTGCCTACGTTGCTTGATCTCGCCGCCAGGCAGGACAACACCTGGGCACTGCGGGCCGTCACCCTGCTCGAGGGGCTCTTCCGGCACGGTGATGATGGTGATGATGGTACGCCGAGCTCGCCCTCTGTTGCACATGAGCCAGCTGCCGAAATCCCTCGGCCTTCACCCATTATCCAGCTTGCCTCAACAGTGCCACTCACTGCCTACCAAAGTAGCTGTCTTGAGTTACAGGCTCTGGTGCCTCCTGTTGCAGCTGCTACTGCTGTCGACTGGCTTGACAACGATCTCCGGCCACTGCTTACAGCACCGGATACCTCCCCCGAGGTCCGCCATGCTATCCCAGCCATTACCAACTGGCATACCGCTGGCGGTGACGGGAGTCTTCTTCCCGCCCTCGTACACATCTATACCGACGGCTCTGCCCGCGGGACGCATGAGCCCCTCGCCAGTGCACCATGCGGCTGGGCCTTCAATGTATGGATTGAGACCGCTAGTGGTTGGTACTTCTATGGCTTCGCAGCAGGCACAGCTGTACCCCCTTTCACCCGTTTCCATCTTGGTGAGATGGATGACTCGCCTCTTACAAGCGAGCTTCTTGGAGCTGCCTGGGCATTGGTCTGGGCTGCCGAATACGGCCCCACTTTCGCCTGCCCGCTGCATCTCCACTACGACTGTGCTGCTGCAGGTGAAGGCACCTTTGCTCAAGCAGTACCCGCCAGTGTCCCCACGGTCACAGGGGGGCCCAGCCTCAGCCACGTCGCCGTTGCTCTCCGGCACATTGCAGCTGCCCGTGTTGCCCTTACCTCTGCATATGTGCCAGGGCACCGGGGCGCACTTGGCAACGAGATCAGTGATTCTCTTGCCAAGTACATCCGCCGGCAGGCCCTGCCTCTGGATGAACGTGTCCACCCCGACTGGCCAGCACACCTAGTACAACACGAGCTTCTAGACTGGGCCTGGCTCGCGCACGCCTGCGCTGCCGACCTGCCCACACTCTTTGCCTTTGAGTCTGAAGCTGGGCGCCTGCAAGCCCTCTGTCCACAGCCACGGCCCGCTCCACATTGTGGAGTTACCCAGACCGCCGACGATACCGTCGCACCCGTGCGGTATTGCATTAAGGCAGTCACGTTCAACATTCTTACCCTACTCGAAAGCACACACGCCAAGCGTCGTGTCCAGACGCATGCTGGCCTTCGAATGATGGGACGGCGACATGTCATCCTGCGACAGTTGCAATCGCAGGATGTGCTTTTTGCGGGGCTCCAAGAGACACGAGTACAGGATACCGCTCTGCTTCCCGACCGGACCCACATACTCCTCCATTCCGGGGCAAGCGAGGCCGGACATTACGGTTGTGCCCTCTGGATCAGTAAAACTGTTCCTTATGCACATGTCAATGGCAAGCCTATGTGCATAGAACCTCGGCACTGCACTGTTTCGGCCACCTCGCCGCGGCATTTAGTTGTCTGTGTAGAGGCGCCACACCTTCGTCTTGGCGTGCTCGTTGTCCATGCGCCCTCCGACCCCCACGATGACAAAGGAGTGCTACATGCCTTTTGGGCGGCTCGTACCCTCGAGCTTGGCAAACTGCCCAACGATGTGCCAGTTTTGCTTCTTGCCGATGCCAATTCTCGCCTCGGCAGCCTTGAGAGCGAGGCTGTTGGGCCGCACCACCCCGAAGATGAGACGCCTGCTGCGTCACATTTTCATAGCTTTCTGCTACGTAATGGTCTTTGGCTGCCAGCCACCTTCGCTGGCCTGCACAGCGGCCCGTCTTGGACCTGGCAGTCCCCACGTGGGGACCAGCATCGCCTCGACTACATCGGCCTTCCGCAATCTTGGGCCACTTTTTCCTGCCGCTCCCGTGTCTGGTACACCTTTGAGGCTTTGCAACAACGTAGTGACCATCTGCCGGTCATAATCGAGTGCTCTTTCGCGCGCGAAAGCAGCTCGCGCGCATCTGCTGCATTTCGCCGTGTTGCTTGTCGGCCTAACGACTTGGATCCCACCATTGACAAACAGGCATTTTGCCATGCACTATCGGCTGCCCCGCCAGTCGACTGGTCTGTCAATGTGGACAGCCACTATTGCGCCTTTGTTTCCAATTGGACGGCCGCGGGCCGTGCGCAACAGCCCCGGTCTACCCCCAAGCCGCAACAAAGCTTCCTAACCGCGCCTACCCTTGCCATTATTCGTCGACGCAAGGATACGCGCATAGCCCTACGTGCCGCCGAGAAAGAGCTGCATCGGCGCTTGCTTGTCGCTGGTTTTGCAGCCTTTACTCACCTGCATGCTGCCTCAGCCCTCAACACCGGCTCTGCAGCAGCCACATGGGCCTGGATTAGGGGTGCCAACCACAACATTGCCTTGGCGTGGAGCCGCCTCCATCGGCTCTGTACTGAAGCCCGCCAGGCCGTCAAAGCAGACCGCTGCCACTACTTGCAGAAGCTGGTTTCTGAAGTTGGGCAAGCTGACCTCCGAGACCCGCGACATCTGTACCAGTGTGTGCGGAGGGCCTTTCCTAAAGCCGCCTCTGCCAAACGGTCTCGTTTTACCCCGCTCCCTGCCGTCGCACTTGCCGATGGCACTCTCGCCGTCACCGGGGCAGAAAGGGCAGCGCGCTGGCGTAGCCATTTTGCAGCCCAAGAAGGCGGTGTCGACATTTCTCCTGCGGACTACAGCGCCGGCTTCGCTGTCGACGCCGCCCGAAGCACTGCGCCCGCCGTCTTCGACCCACGACTGCTGCCCTCGCTCACAGAGCTCGAGACATCCGTGCTCCAACTCAAACGGGGCAAGGCTGCTGGCCCAGACGGTGTGACATCAGAGCTCCTAAAATTAGCGGTACCCACCGCTGCGCGGCAGCTGCTGCCTCTCTTCGTCAAAAGCTTACTCACCGTCCGCGAGCCCATTGAGTTTAAGGGAGGAGCTCTAATGACGCTCACCAAGAAGGCGGCATCTGCCTTCGAGTGCGATCGCTATCGCAGCATTCTGCTATCGAGCGTTCCTGGGAAACTCTTGCATAAGAGCCTTCGCAGACGCATCACTCCTCTGCTCCTCCAACACAGCCCTGACCTTATGGGCGGAGTCCATCCAGGGGTTGGGGTGGACTCGATTGCGACTGCAGTACGGAGCTATCAAGCACACGTGCATGCTAGTGGAGAGCACCCCGCTGTTGTGTTTTTCGACGTTCGTGCAGCCTACTACCAAGTTGTACGCGAGACTCTCACCAGCGATGCACCGGACGACTCCATCCTTCAGTCTCTCTTCTGCAAGCTTGGGGTCCCTCCTGATGCGCTCGCCGAGCTCCGCGACCACCTTGCCAGTTTGAATCACCTCATCGACAGCAACGGCTCCCTCCATCTCGAAGCCTTCACGCGCGAGCTCTTCAAGGGCACCTGGTTTCGGCTTGACCAGCATGTGGATTTAGTCGCCACCTCGGCCGGCGTTAGACCAGGCGATCCGTTGGCCGATGTGTTCTTTGCCCTGAGTTTCAGCGCTTATTTGCGCTCAGTGCAAGCCTTCCTGAGACAACAGTCACTGAGTACAGTGCTGCCGCCTTGCACTACTCTCTTGCCGGTCGACGGTCTTGAAACCGAACGCGAACTCTCCCCTGCCTCCTGGGCGGACGATTTCGCTGCCATGTTGTCTGCAACCAGTCCCGCCCAGGTCGTTCGCAAGGTGCAGGCCACTACGTCTGCTTTCTTGACCCATGCCACCGCCATAGGTATGCAGCTTTCGTTTGCCGTTGACAAAACCGCCGCTCTGCTGCCGCCTACAGTGCTTTTCGCCGATGTTTGTGACCTCCCTCCTTCTGGGGCCGCCTATGAGCATGCCATACTGGTCTACGACAGTATCGCACTGCGCACTGTTCATTTGCCTGCGGTACAGGCATACAAGCATCTCGGTGGGATCGTCACCTGCAACGCGCCACTTCTGCCTGAGATCTATTACCGGTTCTCACAGTGCACCTGGACGCTGCGGCCGCTGCGTGGCACCCTCTTTGGCAACCCCAGCATACCCCTTCCTCTTCGGCGAGCCTTGCTCGGCTCCCTTGTTGCCACCAAGTTCACGTACGGCTCCGCCACCATGGAACTGCACGTTGCCTACCAATGGCGGCTCTGGGCCCGCCTGTACACTTCCATCTGGAAGGCGTTGCAACCGCGATCCTCTGCCGCCGACAAAATCCACTCCTATGAAGTGCTTCGGCAGGCCAATGCCCTCGCTCCGCCACTTGCGCTTGCGAAAGCCAGGGCCAGCCTGTACCTGAGGGTTCTCGAACATGGGCCCCAGACACTCCTCCACCTTTGGTGGCTGCAGTGGGAAGCCACGCCGGCACGATCATGGCTCGCCATGCTACAAGGCGACCTGGAGTACGTTGCCATGTACTGCCCTGCCGTCCAGCTCCTGCTGGACTCGCCTTGTCCACTTGTAGCACTCACTGAGACAATGCTCCAGGATCGCACCTGGTGGCGCCGGCAACTGAATGCAGCGGCCAGGATCTATTTTGCTGACCTTGAGCGATGGGCCCAAGGCCGCCGCAATACTGCTGCCTGCCCACTGATCCCTCCTCCTTCCGCGGACGCCTACTATCGATGTCCCTTTTGCACAGCTAGTTTCCCGCTGAAGAAGCATCTCAGCGTTCACATAGCCCGCCACCATGGGTTACCTGCGCCCAAGCGGCTCTTTGCGCCCCATGCTACCTGTCTCGCCTGCCTTAAGCATTTTCACTCCATTCCCCGGCTGCAGAACCACCTCAAGAGTGTGCCACGCTGTCTTGAGCGCGTGCACCTCTTAATGCCACCCTTGGAGTTGTCTGCTGTAAGAGCTATTGAGCAAGCTGACCGGGCACACCAAAAGCGGCTTAAAACGGGCTGCTGGCAAGCTTTCGATGCTAACAAGCCAGTGCTCCAGGCGCTCGGCCCTCTACAACCTACGCGTGCTGAACTGCTCAGCGCGCTAGGAGAAGAGGCGCCACTCTCACTACTGGCACAGCCGCCACCGAACCCTGCTTTTACGGCATGGGTGTGTAACGACATCCACGGCCGCACACGTGAGCCACCCCGGGCAGGCACACGCAGTTTCTGGTGGCAACGTATCCAGTAGTTATTTCACCGTTTCACCTCGAATTCAATGCTTCGGATGCGTCTGTCGACTCTGCAATCCGCCGAGAAAAAAGGCCCGAAAGCCTCCACTGTTCAACCTCCAGACTCGCGACCCTGAACACAAGGCACTTTGTACCACTGGGATCAGGTCTAACCAAACCTTCCACCCCACCATCCTGTTGATCAAGGAGCAGGCATGAGCACTCAAAACCCCTAATTTTCGGAAACTCCTTTCGGATACTCTAAATCCCTATAAAGCCCCTTGAAGGAACCCTTATAGTACCCCTTTAGTTGAGTCTACAACCCCAAAACCCGGGGAAGCCTGGAGGATGCAACGGCGTCGATGAACCGCCTTCGCCTGTTTTGGGATTGTTCGTGCTTCGGTTGATGATATAAATCCTGCATGACCCATAATAAGGAATATGCCATACTTCCCATCGTTCAGGGTCCTTGAGGTAATGCAGGATTTTTACCATCAACCGTTGCACTTGGGAAGTTCGAGTCCAGGCTTTGGGGTTTCAGGATTTGGGGCTTAGGCTCTGTATTTTGGATTCAAGTTAAGGGTTTAGGGCCAGGCAGGCCCACGCAGAGTTGGATTCGGGGTTCATACAGGCCCTATGGCCTTACTGTAGGTCAGGACCACCAGGGTAAAAGGCCTCATGAAACTGCGAGCGCGGAGGATTTCGAGAGGGATGCCTGAGGCTAAACAACCCTCGACCGCAAAGCGCAAATCCTGCATGAAAGCTGAAACCCTGCACTCGAACTCCTTCTACATCCTCACCCACACCCAAAAGCCCCGTTTAAAGGGTGGGGAGGGGAGGCTGCTGGCCTTCATCAGACTCAGCTCCGCCATTCGACCCTGCATGACGCTGTGCTGTTCGCTCCACTGGGCGATGCACGCCGTCATGGCCAACGAGGCACTGTCGGAGCTTCGGATTTGTGCGGTTTAGAGTCATTTGCTTAAAGGGCTTTTAGATTTAGAGCTAAAGCGGTAGAAAGAACGCCAAAATCTCACAAAACGAAGCTTTCCAAATATCTTCTGAAATCCTTCCGGCTAGAGGCCATCTTCCCGTTTACGAGCGCAACAGCTCTAGCTGCTCGAGACATTCAACTCAAGCAAGTCTACAAGATGTGGTCAATCCGACATGTCGAACTCTTCTTGTGGATTCCGCGATGTCCTTTTGAAACGTGTGGTGCTGAAGCAAATGCCATATGACGATATTCTGTCCTTTTAGCAGAGCATCTGACATGAATCCGCATCGCTCCAGAGCCCTACTAGCATCAAGCAAAACATGTGACTGTGACCGAGATGTGAAGGCCATTGGTCCGTGGCAGCGAGCGTCTATCAGAACCCTCAACCTGTTTTTGCAGCTTAAACACTAACCCTGGGCATCAAAATAGCCCAAAAGCTTGGTTAGTATGGTCTTTGGGCCCAAAAGCCTTAATATATGAGTCCTTGGATGCCTGGGGTAAACCCTGAACCGTATCACTTGGGTGAACCCGAGGAACGAGGAAGATCTGAGACAAACCTGCCGGAGAGGCGAAGATGCCTCGGCAAGCTCTCCAACGGAAGCTGGGTTCTTGCTAAGGGATCTAATTCAAAGTTACCATCATGGGGATAAGGGTTCCTTCTTCTGGGTTCGGCGCTTTAAGGCTCTCTGGGCTCTAGTTTGAAGGCTTTTGGACGCAAAGCAAAGATCGCCCTTTTGCACAAAGGCTTGATTGGAGCTCGCTCGGCCCTGAAACCTAAGACCACATGCTCCCAAGAGCTTTGCAACAATGTGGAGACTTCGGGGGACGGAAGGCCAGCTCATGCCCTTTTTGCCCTGGCTTCTTCCTTGAGTTTAAGGCTCGGGGGCTCAGGATTTGGTCCAGGGTTTAAGAAGTTTACGGTTTGGGTTTAGGGTTAGAGGCCCGGACGGTTTCAGGGGTTCACTATACTTGTGCTCAAGCCCCACTTGAGTTCATCATCCATATCCAACACATCCGCTCATAACGTATCCGTACTAACCCACTATGTTATCTAGCAGTATGTAGGTCTTCAGTCCCGTCTATCAACCGCAGAGGTTTCCTTCGGATACTAGGCAGCCCTATTGGAAGCGATTTTTCAGGGTTTGGGGTTTACGATGGCAACTGCCTGGAGCTGCCTCAGTATTGCTGGGGTGCTCGGTCGCAGGGCCCGGTACTCTTGCTGGTGTTGCTGTTGATGATATAAATCCAGCATCACCCATAAAAAAGAATATGCCAGTATTCCCATAGTTTAGGTTAAGGTGCTGGAGGATTTACATCATCAGCCGTAGTGCTTGGGGTGACATCTCTGGCATCCTCTAAGGTGATGGTGGCTGGTTGCCCAGCCGCGCCACACCCTCGTGTAATGGGGACATCACAGCAGCTAACAAGCTCGCGTGCGTCCACACAGGTCCAAGACACTCCGGCACTTGAAGGCGCCTAGTGACACTTCATGTTGCTACTATGAGCTCATGGCTGCTATCAATCTGTCCTTCTGTGCGTTATGACGTGGGTTTTGCACGTCCCCCAGTGAGGCTCGCCTCGATTACGGGGTTGCCTCTGGTTCTGTGAATGAGCTCGCAGGCTTACCAACTTTCAGCTGGTTTTGCTGGTCCCACACTCCCGAACCCTAAGCCCCAAACCCCCAAAGTCCTGTTAGGCCTGAGCCCTGAGTCGCACCTCTACTTGCAGATTAGGAGCTTCCATAGTATGCTGTCTTGTGCGAGACTGTCCGCCCGTCAACCTGATGGCACTTGCATTTACGCTCTCGCAACTCGGACAAGCCAGACGAGGTCTCTCGGTGCATAGTGCTTTGACTGGCCAGTTCTGGAGCTGATAAACAGTACTTGCATGTAGGGTTGGGGGTTTAGGCTTTAGGCAATTGCGGGAGTGCCGGCGGTGGTTTGGGGAGAGAGAAACCTCGTTGGCTACTCCCCCCGTACAAGAAGTGGATTCACGGTGGTCTCACGATCTGCAGCAAATCCTTTACCGTCACCATTGTGCTTCAGGCAGCGCAACGTAGTTAATATGCTACGTACGACACTGCACGGTTCCCGTCGAAGAAGGAACCGCGAGGAATGCTAATCCTAATCATTCCGACATTTGTATGGGCCCCTGTCATGACTGACCCCGCCTTCACCGGTACAATCTGACGGGAGAGTGGAACCGTGAAGCGGCGGCAAGAAACGACCTCGAGGGTTGAGAGTACTAGAATGGTGCAGGATGTAGGGTTTACCTTAATCCTGAAGAACCTACCTTTTTAGGGTTCCCTATTATAAGTCCCTAAAAAGGTAGGTTCTTCAGGGTTACGGTAGTTTAGGGTTTTTTGACACTCACACTCGGACAAAGCCTGGCAAGGTCTACAGCAATACTGGTCTAGGGTGCAGGGTTTACGTAGGGTTTAAGGCTTGGAGAGTAAGTAAGGTAAAGAGTTAAGGGCTTTTGGATACTAGGATTTCGAGCATTAGGATTCTTGGGGTACAACAGCCTTACACAGAGCTTTAGGGAGTCGGGGAGATGGGCTGATACAGAATTTGGGAGTCCGGTAGTCCGGCTTCCACAGTCGGGCACTTCAGCGGATCTTGGCTTAGACCCAACCCTTTCTTGCAGCTGGGCTCTTAGTATCAGCCAGCGAATCCGCCCACGCTCTGAGACCCAACCCTGAACGCTAAAACCCTAAGCTCTAAACTTACAGTCCTGATGCTTGGAAACTTACATCGATCCCATCCCCCGGGCCTGCCACCAAAGAACGAAGAACGCTTTGAACATGTCCTGCGCAAGCCGGCATCTTCCCGATGGAGTCAGGGAACTGAGAACTACATCAAGATGGGCTCTAAGAGCAGCAAGTACCGTCGGCATGCGAGCGAATTCGTAAGCAATACCGATACCTACGGATGTATGCGCGCCGGCCCATGTGCAAATGCCTCGGCTGTCAGATGCATGCCCTGAGTGCCGCACGTCCGTTGCAATGCAATAGCTCAGTGACGGCGGGTCTTCGTTCGCCGCTGAGTTGTCTTCACAATCACAACTTGTGAAATATCGAACGACTTTCGATCTGCAGATTTCGGCTTCGTATGAAGACTATCGACTCACGCACTCGCACAAGGCAGGCGTGGCTTCAGGCGCTAAGAAGACTTTCTGGGGGACTCCCGTGGGCCGCGTTTGGTGGTGCTGTGGCCCTCGTCGTGGAAACATGCCACCGTCGGCCCAACATCGCAGTCGGGGTAAGCAGGGATCAGGTCTGCACAAACATCACATAGCCAAGCTATACTCCAGCTCCACCGTTCCACAAGCACGAGCTAGATCCTTTGCGCTGCAGCGTGATCAACAGAACCCTTGCACTTGAAAAACGTGATGCAATGTTTCACCCTCAAACCTAGAAAACTGCTGCGAAACAAAAACAAGACTTATGCAACGTGCCCGAATGGTACAAGTACTCGTGCAAGTACTCGGACAAAGCGTATCTTGGCCCTACTACAGGACTTCTTGGTAGGGTTTGTCGACTGGCACACTCGCATGCGGCAGGCACGGAAGGGTTTAGGGTTATTCTCCCGCCTACCTGGCAAGGACGACCGCATTGCGGGGTTTGGGTTTTTGGGGATGTGCTTTCAGCTGTGGAACACAGGCCTGATGAGCCTCCTTCGGGCAATAAAGCCACGTTTCCTTGGCTTCGGACTTGCCGCTTTTCTTGCATGCAGAAGCGGCCCACCTACAAAATTTGTCACATGCCTCATTCACGCCAAAGCCGCAAACGCCCAAACGACAAAATCCCCTTCCCCGCCCCTGCGCCCAAAGCCCTACCCCTGCACCTCAAAGCCAAGCCTTTGCCATCAGATCTCGGTAACTTACACCCGCCCTGCAGCACATGAATTTCGACAAGCTGTCGACCTAATTCAGAGGCCTCAACAATTAGAATACGGCTCAGGTGGTATGTCTATACCGGGACGACGGGATGTTGTTGTCGCGTACTACGCCCAGATTACATCCTTCCTG